TAGAGTTTGAGAATGATAATGCTGTGGTCGTTATAGCTTGAAACTGCACAAAGGCCCCACACATTCTGCTCATGCTCAGCTGCTGGGGTGCCCTTTTCTGCCTCTTCTCCTCCCCGCTGCTTGCCATTCAACAGGCCCCCTTGAAGCAGAAGGGCGGGGTCGGATGTCACCAGCCCTTCAATTACTCTGGAACAGCAACAGAATATTAAGTCGTCTGTCTCCTTCAGTGCTGCGTGCCAGGCCCTTCCATGACACCATGCAATAAAAACAATTAAAGACATGTTCCCCACTGCCAGCCCTCTTTCCCAAATTGCCGCCCCTCAAAGGATCAATATTGCCTTGCAATCATCTAGCTTAAGAGGAAGAAAAACACGCGGGTGGCCAGGAGGAGCGCTGCAGGATCAGGCCAAAGCGAAGCAGCTTCTTAGGACCAGGGAAGACCAGACACAGACTTGGCAGAAGCTGCAAGCCGGCTGTGAGGACAAGAGCGCCCCCATCTGGCCCTTGGAAGACATTGCCTTGGTGGCTGTCCCGGGGGGATCCAGAGCATCGTAGGTGGCAAAATGGCCGGCTTGCACAGCACACGGGAGGAGGATCCTTTCCCCACTGGCGGCTTCTTACACCTTCTGGGGTCCTCCAACCATCGCTGTGCCCAAATAGTAAAGAGGATGGGCTTTCTCTCATGGCCCCACAGCTGGGGTTGCTGTGGAGATGCTGCAAGTCACTGGCTGTGATGGAATGCCTAACAGATCCTGGGAACACGGAGGACCCTCACCGAAAAGACTCCTTAGTCCAGGGGAGTCGCACTCACCTTATTTATGCTAGGTCTAAGTTGACCTAGATAACGGCTTTGGCAGGCTTTCAAGATTCTGTGACGTTGCCCTGCTGGCCCTACAGACCCGTCCAGGAGTCCAAGAGGTTGGGGCCAGATCTGCTTCACCTTGAGTCCAGCCATTGCCTCAGCATCCTGTTGGAGCCAGGCTCTCGCGTTCAGCCAGAAGGAATCTGATTTGGTTGCGCAAGCACGTTACTCAAACATAGCCACGATGTTGTGTTTATCCAGATACAGGGTTGGTGTGTTGTGAAGCCAGCTGTTGAGAGTGAACGCATTAGCCAATGTGTGAAATCCGGGATGGCAGTTTCCTGCATACAAACCCACCCTGTGTCATAGCCCGAGACTGCACCCCAGGGGGTGCGCACCGCTTGGAAGGGGCATGGTGGGCTGCTCCGTCCTCACTAGATTCTGGGCCTTCCTGCCTGGGATTTGGCCTGGGGACCCAATTGCTCTTCTCTTCCTGCTGCAATTTATCAGTCCTTCTAAGCCTGCAAAGTGGGAAATAACAAAACTTCACATTTGCATCACTTTAACACCACACCACACGCCCCCCCCCCCACCGCCCCAGCGCTCAGGTTCCCCAAGGAAAAAGGCAGGGGTTCAAAGAAGGACATGCCTTTTTTGTTTGCTGCAGCTGCACTCACAGCAAGGGCCCCTCAAGTCGCTGGAAGAGGCTCCTCGGGGGCCAAGGGAACAAGCTGTGCAGGG